GGCTGTGAAGACTGGAGTCGCAGGGCCATGCTCCCTCTGAAGGCTCAAGGAGGGTCATCCTTTGCCTCTTCCAGCCTCTTGCTGGCAGTCCTCTTGCTGACAGTCCTCGGCGTCCTTGCCTCGTAGCTCCATCGCCCCAGTCTCTGTCTGTGGCATGGCCACCTTCCCTCTCTGTGTGCCTACGTGTCTCTAAGTCCCTCTCTCCTTAAAAAGGACACCAGTCATTGGGGATAAGGCCCATCCTAATCCAGTATGACCTCATCCTAACTTTATATCTGCAAAGACCATATTGCCAAATAAGACCACATTCACAGGTATTGGAGGTTAGGGCTTCAACATGTCTTTGGGGGGACACAATTCAGCACTGGCATTTTTAAGTGTGTTCTTTCTTGCTTCCTGAGCACATAAGGAATGAACGACAGAACTTGGGGAATGCGTTTCTGCATTTGTGCCCAGTGCCTAACATGGACCCTGGGGCTGTGGACACCCCTGGGCTTTGCTGGGGCATCCCAACACTCACCTCCCATTATTGCAAATGTGACTTCATTTTCTCTACCTCTTGAACTTGGTTGCTTGTTTCTCTGCTCTAATGGAATATTCCATCTGGAAGAGGTCATACCTTCTCATAGCCAACAGACTCACCAGCGTTCTGGAAATAAGAAGCCAGTTTTTGGCAAAAGAGGAGAAATGCTTGAGGATCTGGATGATGTTAGATGTTGCCTGGTTAGTCATCGCTGGCGCTGGGCTGAGGGGTTGAAAGCAGATTGGATGAAAGTGATCTGCGGTGATCTGTCAACTTGGGGTCCTTGTGCATCATCTCCCAGCTGTTCTGAACACTCCGGTATCTCATGAGCAAAGCATGGCTGTGGGAGCTCTGTGGTCTGAAGCCATAAGGTCCCTCATACCAGAAGCACTCTGCTAAGAGCATGGAAATGAAGCTATGTGAAGGAGAAAGCTAGGTGGTGCTCAGCTGCAGAGCGTTCTTGATGCTTCTGGAAGTTTTGGAAAACGTGTCTCCAGAGGCGGCTTTGCCCATGTGGGTGGCAGCCCTGTGGAGCTTTTTCCTTTGCTGTTTTTTTTTTCCCCCTTCCTTTTGGCAGGCAGATGTTTGTGTGGAAGTGTGACCTTTAATTTTTTAAAGACCCATCTCCCTGGAGTTAATTTCTCTTTTGAAGTCATAATCATGTGTGTAATGCTTTCTGTTCATCTGGACTCCAAGTGAAGGGTTATATGTCACAAGTGGGGAAAACTGGGGGCTTTCTGCATGCCATTTGGGCATAAAGGAAGATAGCTACAAGGCAAAGACATGGAAATGATCAGTTTCCAAAGCTCATTGGAAATGGAATTTGGTTTTCTTATGTCTTTCTTGACCATAGCAGCCAATTTAATTCTTACACAAATAACAGAGGCTCTCCAAGGAGGCAAACAATTCTGATTTTCTTCTTGAGTATTTCCATTATGATGGACCTTTCTCCAGTGCTCACAAAGAGGAAAGCTGCAAATTCACACGAACCCTCCAGGTTCTAAACATAGTGGTTGGTCACGTGGGACCTGTCATTAGAATTGCGCTGCTCCAAGTTGCTAGTGTAGGAAACCAAGAAGGCTAGAGCTGGCCACCTGTTGATTCTTGCCCGCTCTGGCAAAGGCCTCCAGTCCCTCCCAGATGCCAGAACTGCTTTAGGAAACACGTGAGATGTGTTCCGTTGGCAACCCTGTCACAGACCTGCTGTTTGGGTCTCTGCTGAGGATTTCTCCTCTGGCCCCTGCAGAAGGTGGGTGTCTGCGAGTTGGTTGGACCTGAGAAGGGAAGAGCCCAAAGATATGATGCCCCTTTCCACCTTCCATGTTCTTCCTGCTGCTTGAGATGAGCCAACCAGAGAAGTACACACCCTTCTGGACTGTTGGGAAACAGTCCTTGTTTGTAGTTTCTAAATTGACCTATGCAGTAGATAGTGTAACACATTTTTCTGACTGAGGTCCATGTTGTCAGCCTCTCTTAGACCTAATCGTGAGGACCACCCAGAATGAGCACTCGTTCTAGTAGAACAATGCAGCCATTTACCAGCAGGCACCTTGTGGTCGAAGCCTTGGAAAGGAAGCTTGAATTTGCACTCTCATTTTCTTTTCAATTAAAAATATCCGAACAAATTTGGTGTGTGGGAAGAAAGGACACATTAGCACTGAGTAATGAAGAAAACTCAGTAACGCTAAGCCAGTGCTTTATTCAATAAATAACTTCCTCTTTGTGGCAGAAGACATCGATGCTGAGTGACCTGAGGAGTGGGTCGTTCCAGGCTGCTCTTCTGGGTGGATGGCAGGGGCGTGGAGAACCTCTATGCTTCCATTTGCACAGGGCCCCAGGCTGAGCAGAGTGGGCGTGTGGAGCCTCTTGATGTCAGGACTGTTGTGATCCGTCACCCTCTGGCCCCTCCCGGTGCTGGGCCTCGTGACCTGCAGGCCAGGCTAGAAAGCTGCCCTAGGACACCCCGGTGAAGGCAGACTTCTTAATGCCCGATGAGGCCCCCAGGACCAGACTTTTCTAGTAAGTCTAGAGAAGAGCACTCACTGGTGGTTGTAAGGAGCTCAAGTTCAAATCCCTGGCCTGCCCCACCTGCTGGTGCCTCAGCTTCGGCACGTCATTTACTCCCTGCTGCCTCATCAGCTAAAGCATTGAATCTGGCACGTAATCGATACTTAATATGTAATTAGCTATTATGATGTCTGCCTAAGTAAATTTACATGGGCATTGCAACATTAGAAGCTCTGTTGCTGGGATTCATGTGTGAGAGTCCAAGGAACCTGGTTGCTGTATAGCAGGGTGTCACCATGATTTATTTAGCCCTTGGCCCTTTAGGCCTTGACAGCCCACTCTGAACATGACACTTCTGTCCCTGCTGCAGTGACCAGGGTCGGGGTCTATGGTATGTGGTAAGAAGCACCTTCCTTCAGCAACACATTTCTGTGTGCATGTTCCATCTTATGTACGTAGGCCACGTGTCATCCTTCAGTGTCCTTACAGCACAGCCATTCACTTCTGAGCAGGCCTTGGTGTGACGCACAGGGGTCTGAAGAGGGTCTGAATCCAAGAAGCTGGTCCACAGTAGAGATAGTTCCTATTCATTGAGCATTTCATTGAGCGTGTGTTATTTGCCAGGCACTCTTCCAAGGATTCTCCCAGTATGGACCCATTTATTTGGGCAATGTTCCAGTAAGATAATTACTAATCTTATCTCATTTTTTAGATGAGGAAACTGAAACTGAGGAGAGTTTGTCCACTGCCTGAGGTCAAACAAAGGTTACAACTCTGGTACATGTTCAGTGTCTCAAATCTGAACTCTGAAATGCTCCAAAATCCAAAACTTTTGAACACAGACATGGTACTCAAAGGATATGCTCATTGGAGCATTTTGGATTTTGATTTTCAGATATGGGAGGCTCAACCAATTTAAGTATAATACAAATATTTCAAAATCTGAAATTCGAAACACTTTTGGTCCCAAGCATTTTGGGTAAGGGATACTTGACCTGTATTTGAAGCTGGGAGTATCGCTTTGCCCTGTTAACCACCGTAGCTATGAACCACCGTGGAATGGACAGACATCTGCAGCCCTGCCCTCCCCTGGACAGCTGCTCAGGTGCTGCTCTGAAGCCAAGGCTGCATTTCAGTGGCATCTAATGAACATTTATGGAGGAGCCACCATGGGCTAAATCCCTGGACTTGCCCTCTAGAAGAGGAAGGAGGCAGCTGACTAGCTCACTGGTCACATCAGTGCACTCCTGGAGTGAGAATAAGGAGTGGTGGCAGCTTCGAGAAGGGCACAAGTAACTCCCTGGAGGGGGAGGAGGTATTTCTTGGAGGGGTGACTTCTGAGTTAGGTTTTGTGGAATAAATAGTTTACCAGGTGTTCTAAGGGGGGGGGGGGAACAGGCAGAAGAAACAGCATGCAAAGAACACAGGCATTAAACAGCAGGATTTTTTTAAGGTGGGGGTACTGCAAGGACTTCAGCATGAATGCATGATAAAGTGCAGGGGGAGTATTGTCCTTGTTGAGACAGAGCCAGGAGACACCGGGCCTGGTTTACCATGCCAGGGGACTGGACTTTATCCCAAGGGTGTAGGCAATTTAATATCATAGTTTTAAAATATAGTTAAAACCCCCAAACCTTGATACATTTAGTATACTATTTTTCCTCATTTTATTATTCTAATTGTGGAAGGAAAAGATCACAAAAGTAACTAAGCTCTGTATATGATGTTCTGACCTTGTGCTAAAAAGAATACTGTTTTTTAATCTCTTCCACTGGTTTTTCCATTTTCCATCTGCAGTTCCCTGTGACAAAAGTTATCCTCAGATGCCAGGATAAGTACTTTTGAGGGTTTTTGTTTTTGTTTTTAATGTTTTTTTAAGTGGCTTTGATTGCATAAGAGCACCATGTGGAACTGTTTCCAGCAGTATCTTTATAGCAGGAATAGAGGCTAAGACTGATTATGTAATTGTTCCCTTAATCTATTCTCAGAACCTAACATGTTGCTAGTATATAAAAAATCCTAGTGATCATAATGGTTGCTGAGTGTCTTTCCTGCTCACGATTTCTGGTGCTATTGCTCTTAGACTGTTTACTGCAGAATAGGAATCAATGGTTTAAATGTGGCATGACCGTTCACCCAGCACTGCCCACCCCAGACTCAGCTCTGTCTGCTCCATCTTGCATGTGCAGCCCCAGCCAGCGGCTCTGACTGGAGAAAGGATTCCTGCACACTCATTAGAGCCCCTCACTAATGTCTCACATGTTAACACTTGGATGAGGAGAGGCAGCGCACTTCTGCTGCGCTGAGGTTGCACTTTGCAAGGAGAGCAGAATGCCATCTGTCAGAGGAGGTGGCAGGCATGTGCAGATACTGCTGTGAATTCCATGAATGCTTAATTGCTATAGAATGTTTTCTTTTCATTTGAGTCTTTGCATTTAGTTTGTTGTTTGTTCTTTTTTTTATTTTGTAGAATAGTCCTTATCAGTGGCAGAAGATCCTTCTGTAGTATATTTTCAGTGCTGCCGTATCGCGACAGTACCCAAGTCGGGTATGTATATGCATGCATGCTTTATAGTTCTCTGGATGAAAAGTTTGGACACCAGTGTGCATAATGTGGCTACCCTTTTCCACTTTCAAGAACTTGCTTTGCTTTGACACTGCAAATTCAAAGTATTTGTAAGTTTGAAAGGAAGATGCTCCACCTGCTTTTCAGCCAGAAAGCTTCTTTGTTGTTGAATGTGGGTGTGTGCATGCATCCCCACCACGTTGCTTGTTCTTTCTAAATGTGCATTTTGTCACCGTTTCCAATATTGTAATGCAAGAGCTATATGGGGCCCACCCTATTCCACATGGCCACTTCAACTTTTGGAAAAGGTAGGTCAGGAAAAGGATCAGACCAAACCCTGTGACCATCCTTGCATCTTGGGCTTGAGGTCAGAAACTGACCAGCAAGCAGGTGCTGCCACTGCAGGGCAAGTATCAAAGCCAAGTGGCACCAGGAACAGACCGTATGTAATTAGCTACAGGCCAGAGGAACACCCCCCTCAGACTGACAAGCCCCTCCTTTCAGTCCGTGAAACAGTAAGTACCTGAGGGCCTGTCCTTGCAGAGCCTCCTCTGCTCATTGCCATCCCCGAGCGCCATGTTCATTTCCTCCTCTGTGTCCAGACTCATGCCTCTCCTCATGTGCCCAGTGTCTGACATCAGAGGGCTTCTGGTGTTTAGGGCAGGACAAGTCACTATGTAGGATGGTTGGGAACATCACAGGATGTTGGCTCTGGTCATTGTGACAACCAAATACTGCAGACATGAGACCACTGCTCCTGAGTTCAGTATGGCCCTGGTTCACCATTTACTCATCTTTCATCACCTCCATGAGCTCTGCCCCAGGCACTCCTGCTGGCCATGGCCTTCCCTTTCCCTTGTGACCTGTGAGACTTATGACCCGTTCATTTCACCATGGCCGTTATTTGTACCCTACACTGGAACCTCCATGGGACAGAAAGCAGCACATCTTTATTCATGGAATCCTGACTCAGTCCTTGATCAGATGTGTGTCTTTAAAGAGCAATGATGATCATACCATGTATTGAGTACACACTTTGTGCTGGTCCTTTTTATTATCTGCATCCTTACAACAAAAGTAGCAGCAATTCTGCAGCTCAGAGGTTTAAGGACCTTCTAGGGATGGCCCTGGGGCAACCTCATGGGGAGGCTCTTTTCACCTGATCAACCTGCTGTGGCCCCTGGTCTGGTAGCATCTGAAGGGCAGGCTCATTCCCTGAGGAAACTACGTAGTACCAGCTCACAGACCTGATGTGTGACCCTAGGGGGCCAGTCTATTAAACTAATTACAAGTAGTGGCCCCAGGGCCCAGAATATCTGAGTGTGACCACCAGGTATATATCAACTCTATATCAACAGGAGAAGGCTCCTTGCCAGCACATCCTCTTCTGGCCAGGGCTTGGATGGGCACTGTAGTGTCACCCTCATTTCAGTAGACTTCCCTAGCTGACCTTTCTGATTGATGCATCCTTTCCTTAGCTATGTCCCATTCATTCATTTATTGAGTGCCTGCAGTGTGACTAGGTACCGGGGATAAAGATCGTTAGGGATGAACCTGGTTCCTGTCCTCCTGAACTTACAGCCTAGCAGGGAAGACACATTAAAGTCACACACAATTGGGCCGGCCCAGTGGCGCACTGCTACAGTGTGCCATTTGGGAGCGCGGTGGCGCTCCCGCCGAGGGTTCGGATCCCACATACAGACCGGTTCCTGCTCACTGGCTGAGCGAGGGGCGGGAGCAACACCGAGGGTTGCGATTCCGTTGCCGGTCCCGGTCTGGTACGGGCGCGACACTGAGGGTTGTGATCCGTTGCCGGACACGAAAAAAGACAAAAAGGGAAAAAAAAAAAAAGTCACACACAATTAATTACAATTTTTAATAAATGCTAATGATATCTAGTCAGGTGGCTGCTGGGTTTTCCTGGCAAGGACTCATGCTGTTTCTTTAAGACAATTTGGCTTCTCCACACTTTTGTCCTTGAAGTGCTCGTGTTAGTTTCATTCTCTAAGGGTGATCTTATTTCCAAGTTCCAGGGTCCCCTCCCTGAAGAACCCAAGTGTTTATCCCCATTTTATAGACAAGAGTGCTGGTGCTCAAGAGTTGAGGTCTCAAACATCAACTTTGGGCCAGATTGAGACCTTAAACCCCAGTCTGTCCAGCCATAGGTTTTTCCATGCCCCACCCTGGCAGACAGGCAAGACAAGCTCCATATCTGCGAAGCCTTTCAGTGACAGAGCTTTTATGCTGTCTGCCTCCCGGAGTGTAACTGAGGCTCACAGCAGTGAATGGGCACCAGGTTCCCGACAGGGCGCCTGGCATGCAGAGAGGTAGGAGGGGCCCTGATCAAGGACCCCATGTTTCTGACAGCCAAAGAAATGCAAGCATCAGTGTGGAGAACTTTGGAGAGCTTCACTTGGGCAAATCGCTTACCTCCTGGGAAGCTTTCCTTTGCTCCGCTGTAGAATGGAGAAGGCAGGTCACTACCTTGGATCCTTAATTTGAAGATTGCAGTGTTGTATGCAAAGCCGATAGGAATATGTTTTAACTTAAATTACCCAGGAAGCGATCACAGAATCGTCGCCATTGGACATCCTTGTGCATGTACGTGGTCCTCCACATTCTTAACTCCTCAGGGCAGTGCTAGCCTGCAGCCAGCTGGCGGGAGGAAAATGGTATCTGTCCACTCCTGGGTCTCCTTCCTGCTGCTAGGAAGGCCTCACGTGTTGCAGGAAGGGCCACCTTGTAGGACTGTCAGTAGATTCAGCTATTCTGCCTGTTGGCCCTGAATGGAGAGGCAGAATGAGTGTGTGGGGTCACAGGACCTGACCTATTACATGTTAGACATGAACAGATCCACGTCTACTCCTCCCAGTTTTACAGATAAGGAAGCCAGGGTGCAGAAAGGCTAATTATTTTATAACCAAAAACATAATCAGATTCTTTGCCATACTTAACAGAAATAACATGCCTGTTTTTGCAGCATATTCATTTAAGTACTCACATAAGAGAAACTATGAGCACAATTCGAAATGTTGTAATTGAGCAGCAGGATTAAGAAGCATTCTGCTTTAACTTTTTATGAGCAGACATATTTATAAATAATAAATCCATTTACCGTAATTAAGATTTAAGGTTTTTGGGAAACTGCTCAAATGAAAAAATTATATGCTAGTAAATATACTAGTACATATACTAATAAACAGCATATACCTATAAATAAGCTACTTTTAGTTAATATACACATTAACTAATATACATATTAACTGTGGAAAATACTTTTACACTGAAGCTCTTTCAGTGACGAGGCCACAACTCATAGAATCTCAGGGGTGGAAAGGCCTTCAGTGGTCACATAGTTTGATCTTCCTGCTTTGCAGCTGAGGCACAGGGGGGTGAGACTTGCCCACGGCCCAGCCAGTGGAGCCAGCAATGCTACAGCTCAGGCCTCCGGGCTCCCACCCTGCTGCCTCTGTGGTTCTAGCTCATGCGTTCCTGTCGTACTTACACACATGGACCAGGCCACATGTGCCTGATTATTCCAAACAAGCATAGACACCCCCCTGTCCCCACCTCGTGAAGGGGATAATGTCCAGTTCCAATTTCATAGCAAGAAAGTTCTAAAAACAGGAAACTCACGGGTTCATCTGCCTGTGCTCGAACCTCCTTCCCATGGAAAGCGTCTATCAGGATAGTTTTATCTTTCTGGGTTTGTTTTCTGGTTTCTTGTGCTGCTCTGGAGCTTCCTAGCCCTGCCTCCCACTGCGGCCCCAAAGCTTTGTTTAGCCTGAAATGAACACTGATTTTGGCTCCTGACATCAGTTGACCAAAGCAACGGTAGGAGGGGTTTTACCTTCCATCCATCCATCCATTCATTCCTTTGTGCATTAGGTCACTTGTTCTGCCCCTAGTGAACATGAGGCCGCGATGGAGGCTGGGGGTCAAGGGGAGGTGCGGGGATGAGTATCCAATCCAAGACAACTGGCGGCCCCAAGGAAGCACTGGAGAGCATTTGAACTGCCCCCAAGTCTTTATCAACATTCACATTTAAAATAAATGAAAGCAAAATGTTTACTGTGTAGTGTCTTTATCCCCATCCACCCCTCCAAATACATTGCCATCCCTTCATGCAGCCTAATCTAGTAATTCAGGTGCTACCACTGTACAGCAGAATTCATTCACTCCAGATCTACTGAGCACTTGCTGTGTGCCAGGCACTTTTCAAGGCAGGGGGGATACAACGGTGAACAAGGAAATGTCTCTGTCCTCACGGGCCTCACGGAGCCTACTCTCTAATGGTAGGAGACAAAAAAGCTAGTAAACAAACTAACCAAACAAAATAGCAGTCAATTGAGTCCTAAGCAAAGAAGTTTGGGGGATTCAGCTGGAGGGATCTGGAGGTGCTCCCCAGAGAAGGAGGCTCTTCCACTAGACTTAGAAGCGTGAGGCCTTAGAGACGTGGAGGACATCCCAGCCTCACCGCTGACTTCTGAGGATGCCAGAAGATGATCCCGCGCCTCATGAACTCCCAGGCGGGGTCTACAGTGCCTGCCATGTTGAGAGAATTCTGTACAGCACCATTCAAGCTGGATCCCATTTCTGACCTGACACTGGAGCATCCAGGCCTGTGTAGTGGAGGGGGGCCCGGTCCTGGGATGTCAATGACTGTCACAGGCCCTTCAGCTCTCCCTGGTCTCAGTTCCCTCATCTGTAAATAGGGATGTTTGACTGAAGACTCCAAAGATCCCACAAGCTTGAAGGCTTGTCCTTGTCGACACTGCCAGTGTGGAAGTGGTAAGTCTTGTTGCACAGGAACTCGTGAGTGAGATGCACAGCTCACACCTGAATAATTATGCTTCATCCAGTTTGTAAAATTTGAGACTTTTTAAAATGTGCAGATCTGGTGACTTTTTTTGCAGTTTTATTTGGTCCATTGTGTCCTGGTATGGGCCAGAGGTAGGGGCTTAATTAACCTGGGCTTGGAA